AGGGTTGACTGTAATTGGTAATGATAACTATCGTCACTATAGATAAAGAAATTTACTAGTTATCAATAAAATTTGAAGCAAGCAAACTTTGTTAATTGCCAAATATACATGTTAAATCAAAAATGATTACCTGCTAAAGGTAATTTTATTTGCGGGGTTGTTTTTCAAAAAAGGTCATCATTATGATTTGAATAACAATTATAAATTAATAATATTTATAGATAATGATGATAATTACTATCTACCAATCAAATCTTATTAACTTATCTAAAGAAACTTTTTATAGGAATTTGATGCATGTAAAACAAACAAACAAACGATAATGAATGTGTGTGAAACTATTATCTTATCTAATTTACGGAAAATTTAAACAAGCAAGCGGATATTTAAATCAAAAATGGTTTTATCCTTATTAAAGTGATTTTTTATTGCGGGGTTTGTTTTTTATTTTTTGACTTTGTAAATCATTAATATTCATTTATGTTGTATGTGAAATTGAAATTTATAATTAAAATTGTGTTTAGATATGAAATTCTGATTGGCTAATTTGAATTTCACATAAATTCACATGGATTTCATTTTCACGCACAACATTTACATAAAAAATTTATAAAATTTATTATTATATATATTAGAGATAAGAAGAATAAAATCACGAATTCAATAATTAATAAATTCCCACAATAATAAAATTGATTGATTACTTAATTATGTATTGGATGCTTACTATCTAAAATATTCTGCTTGTCATCAAGTACTAAAAAAACAAAACTTAATTATTAATCTATAGTTAAGTTTGAATAATTTAATTAAAAAAGCTTCAAAAATACCTTCAGAAACTAATTTGCTAAGCTGTTTTTCAAAATCCGGTGTATTTACTGGTGGTGGAAGATTGGAGGTATCAAGAAGTCTGCTTGTATAAATTGCTTCAGAATGTAGTTTCCAGAAAGGTAGCTTTGGTGTAATAAATCCAGCAAATAAACTATTACTATTCATATCCCATTTATTTATAATGGTAAATAATTTTTTAGAAGTTGGCCTTTTGTCAGGTTGAGCATCCCAACATTCCATAATTAATTTAGTTAATAACTTAGGCATATGAGATGGAATTTCTGGACGTAAACCTTGGCAAATTCTTGATGCAAGATCATTATCATGTTGTGAGATCAAATATTCCGTCTCACACAAATCTATTAATTTGGTTATAATATTATTTATCCCTTCCTATGGCAGTATCCAGTTGTGTAATTCTTTGATTACTTTCTTTTCTTTA